ACCCTCTATGAGATGGATTGATTCGGTGACTGGGGTAATCGGGATGGGTGTGTCAGAGGCAGTGCGGTTGGCGCAGGACAGAGCAGGGTTTAGGGCTGTTGTGCATAGGGTTGCTATGAGTCGAAAATGACTCGACGGCACATAACAACAACAATACAAAATAGAAGTAAGACAGTAAGAAATATGTGATGTTTCACCACCCAGCACATTAACAGCAATCATTAACACTGAAGAGGGTGGGGAGGGATGAATACTTTATGAAAAAGAAATTTTACATGAAAACTGGTTAACAGTACAACAAATGATAAAATGAAAAATCTTACGTTTGGTTATCTATCATTCATTATTTATTAGCAACCCTCCACTGGGTTTTGACAACTGTAAATCTTTACAAGACAAGACTCTCCTTCTTTTTCCCCACACAGAAGCTGATGGTTTTGAAGCAACTCTGGTTAGCAGTCCAGCATGTCAAGTAATACATCACCAGGGATCCTTTAAAACAATTCGATTTTGCAGGACTGAGGTAATATCTCATGATATTTTTTTTATTTGTATTTGTCTGTTGGCTAGTAAAGGAGCCCTGGTGGAATACATGTGTCAGGAATTAAGACACTCTGTTCACACAACAGCCTCTTGGTCCAAGTATAGGTTTCACATGAGCATAATTAAGTGTTCTGGCATCCCCATTCTTCTCAGTGTTAGCCATAATTTGTTATGAACAATCAAATGCCTTTGTGTAGTCAATAAAACACAAAGAGACATTCTTCTGAATGTCTTTTAGCCAGGATCCATTTGACATCAGCAGTAATATCCCTGGTGCCAAGGTGTCTTCCAAGTCCAGCTTGAACAGCTGACAGCTCTCTGCCAATGCATTGTTCTAGTCATTTTGGGATAATATTGGGCAATATTTTGCTTTCATGTAATATTAATGACATTGTTCAGTAATTTTCACATTCTGTTGGATCACTTTTCCTGGAAATAAGAACAAATATGGATCTCTTATAGTCATTGGCCAAGCAGCTGTTCTCCAAATATCCTGGCATAGACTGGTTAACACATCCATGCCTGCATCTGTTACTTGATCATATCAATTGGTGTTCCATCGATTCCTGGGGCCTAGCCTCTTCAGTGCAGCTTGAACTTCTTCCTTATCATTGGTTCTTGATCAGA